TTTTTTTTCTTAGTAGAACTCAACTTAATGAGATTTAAGTGGAAAAGGTGAGTCTCTGGAAGAGGGTCCCATTTTCCTATTTGCTTTTTTCTTGCGAAGCAAAAGGATATAAATAATGCAAATTCAAGAGTAATTTTTTTAAAAAAAAAACAACCCTCAGCACCCAGCTTAAGAAATAGAAACAGCCTTTTCCTTCCTCATTTCAGTTAACTTCTACCCTGACTTTTTTTTTTTTANTTAAATATGTTTTTATAGATTTCGGAGAGAGGAAGGGAGAGGGAGAGAGAGAGAAACATCAATGATGAGAGTCACTGATCGGCTGCCTCCTGCTCGCCCCCTGCTGGGGATCGAGGGGCCTGCACCCCTGCATGTGCCCCGACCAGGAATCGAACCCGTGACCTCCTGGATCCTAGGTTGATGCTCAACCACTGAGCCNGGGAATCGAACCCTGACCTCTGCATGTGCCCCGACCAGGAATCGAACCCGTGACCTCCTGGATCCTAGGTTGATGCTCAACCACTGAGCCACGCCGGCCGGGCTACCCTGACTTTGATCAATCTTTTTATTTTTTATTTTTTGAGAGAAAGGGGACAGAGATAGAGGCACCGATTTGTCGTTCCACGTATTGATACGTAATCAGGCTACAGGCTACAGGCCGCCTGCTTTTCTCTCTCAGAGCGTGACTGTGCACATGCGCAAGAGCCTGCTCGCCACGTTGGACAGGGCCGGGGGTGGTCTGTGAGAGCCCCAACTTTTAAAGTGCTGGGGACAGAGAGATCTTTTTCTGATTTTAACAGACAGAATGAAGCCTACAGTGATCAACTGGCGTCTGGCCAGGCAGCTGGCTGGTGAGTAACTGTACCCGAACTAGAAGCCGGGCCTTCTGCCCCGGGGTCTGTGCCACTTCTGCATCCTGCCCCCCAAATCTAGGGTCACTCGCGGACGACCAGCGCATGTCGCATTCCTCGCTGGGTTCAGAGTTGTGCCTGAGGGTATAATGTAGCTTCTGTGACCCTCTGTGCCCGCTAACTGGCTCCCTTGGAGGGACATTTTGCATTAATCCAGCGCCAAATTCCCAGAACGTGCCTCCCGAGGGATATCGGACTCAACTCCAGTCTCACTGCACATCCTGCCCTTGGCCAAAACACTTCCACCCCCCGAGAGCTGGTGCCCCTGGAGTCCCCACGTATTATTACCCCTGGAGTTTCCGGTTCAGGAGGTCTGGGGCAAGGACTTAGAATCTGCATTTCTATCAAGTTCCCGGATGCTACTGATACAGGTCTGGGCTCACCTTCTGAGACCCACTGCACTGAATTGATCAGATTTGTTTTTTCCCCCTGGTCAAATATCTACTTTCCCCATTAAAGAGCGAGCTTAGTCCTGGCCCCCGTGAGTGGAAGCCCTCAGATGGCATTGCACACAGTGGGAGGGAACAGGCTAGTGTTACAAGGCTGATGTAATAATTGAGTCTATAACACCGTGAGGCACCCACTTTCTCTCTAGGTAGAGTAGGAAACACCCAGCGCCCTCCCTACCCCCTGGCATCTGCCCTTACCTGTCCGCTCTTACCCCTCGCGGATCAAGGACCCCCAGCCCCGGATCCTATAAAGATCCCGGGAACTTAGGCTACGTGCCTCCACCATCTCCGAAGCCAGAGCCGTTTGACGGGGATAACACGTGTGCTCGGGTCCTGCCGTGTCTCAGGGACACGGGCAAACCCCAGGACTGCCCTGTCCCACGCTGTCACGAGGAGACCTGCGGCCAAAAGCTGGCTCTTCTGTTGACTACGTGACCCATAACGAGCCACCTGACATTTGTCAGGCCTTCCGTTTTCAGCGGGAGAGAAAAGAAGTGCCTCATTATGAGAGAGAATTATCCAGAGTTCCTGGGAAAAAGAGGCATTTGCGACAATACTGTAGCATTAAGCTTTTAGAGATATTACGCTTTATAGTTTAACAACAAAGTGCTCATGTGCGTGCCTGCGTGTGTGTGTGTGTGTGTATTAGAGCCTCACAACCACCTTGTGAGGCAGGGAAGGTAGGGCCCGAGAGAAGGCTGATGTCCGGCCAAGGTCCGGCCAAGGTCAAGTGTCAGGGCCAGGACCCAAACAGGTCACGTTCTCGGCGGAGTCAGTTCCTCCCTCAGTGCATTTCAGTTAAATATAGGAATGTACCAGTGCGTGCAGTGGGTGGCCCTCGAAGGGTCAGAGTAATTAAAAGGCAAGTGACCTAGCGAGTTCGGAAGCGGGAGCTGTCTCCCGCAGCTGACTGCCCGGAAGGGCCCCTGCGACATTGCTTAACAGCCTCAGGAATGTCGCGTCCACGTGTTACATTCCTCTCCCAGGTCCCTCTGGCCTGCCCGTCACTGGATAGCTCTGTGCCTCAGACGGCAGCGGGCCTCCCGTGGGAGTACCTCGGGCCCGCTGCACAGAAAGCTCCTGAAATTCCTTCAGCCTCTTAGTCACAAGACTGCAGACATCCTCTGTGGCAATCCTGCCTTGTCATGGCCATGAGACATCGGGTGACGAATGCCGGCTAATGCCGCTTTGTTAAACCTGTGCTCCGGCACCCCGAATCTCCTAGCGCCAACCTGGTTTCCTGCAAGTCCTCGGCTTGCAGAGCTGCACTAGTAAGTTCCTTCCTGCGTAATAAGGCCGATGTTGGTCATTATAGTGATAATGTGGCCTTTTTGCTACTGAGCACCTACTTGGTGCCAGGCACTGTACTAGGCACCAAGTGAGACAATGTGAGACCTCTGGGCCACATTTATCTCACTTCCCTTTTAGTAACCAGGCTTCAACCATCTTTCCGTGTCTGAGAGTCCATGGAAAACACTGAAGGAATGCCTTTGGTGTTCAAAACACAAATTACTTGGATCCTATAGGTTTATCATCACCCCATTAAAACATGGGAAAAAACAAAAGAAAAAGAGAGGAAGCCCATCAGGGCCCAGCTTGAGTCACCGACGCCCAGGTTCACGTCGTCTCTCTCCGGGGTGCCTGAAGGCAGTACCGATGGAAATTTGGAGGGGCGCAGCAGAACCACTGAAGACGTTTCCCCCTAAATCAAATGAGTGTTTTGGTGGCATAAGAGATGCGCTTTCTGACGGAAACTCTTGCCGCACTGACCACAGTGAAAAGGCTTCTCTCCTGTGTGTGTCCTCTGGTGCATCAGGAAGTGGGACCGCTGGTTGAAGGTTTTGCCGCACTCGGGACACGGATATGGCCTGTCCCCTAAGTGGATCCGCTGATGGGTCAGGAAGTGGGAGCTCTGGCTGAAGCTCTTCCCGCACTCGCCGCACTGGTAGGGCCTTTCTCCCGTGTGGATCCGCTGGTGCTTGACGAGGGCGGAGCTGTCGGCGAACCCTTTGCCGCAGTGGTCGCACTTGAAAGGCCGCTCCCCTGTGTGTGTCCTCTGGTGCGTGGCCAGGTGTGAGCTCTGACTGAAAGTCTTGTGGCAGGAGGGGCAAGGAAAAGGCCTTTCCCCCGAGTGAGTGCTCATGTGAGCTACAAAATGAGAACTGTCTCGGAAGCCCTTCCCGCACTCGGGGCACTTGAAGGGCCGCTCTCCCGTGTGGGTCCGCCGGTGCTTAATCAGATCCGAGCTTTGGCTAAAACTCTCCCCGCAGTCCTGACAGCGGTAAGGCTTCACTCCCGTGTGGGTCCTCTGGTGGGTGATGAAATTGGAGCTGCGGCTGAAGCTTTTGTGACATTCGAGGCACATGTAGGGCTTCTCTCCCGTGTGGGTTCTTTGGTGCATTATGAGGTGTGGCTTGCGCCCAAAGGTCTTCCCGCACTCGGGGCACGCGTAGGGCCGCTCGCCTGTGTGGGTCCTCTGATGTTTGATGAGTGTTGAGCTGTCGCCGAATTTTTTCTCACACCCATTGCACTGGTAGGGTTTCTCCCCTGTGTGTGTTCTGCGATGGGTGACAAGGTCGGAACTCTGCTTGAAGCCTTTCCCACACTCGATGCATTTATAAGGCCTCTCGCCCGTATGAGTTCTGAGGTGTCTTATGAGATAGGAGCTGTGGTTGAAGCTCTTCCCACATTCTGCGCACACGGGCTTCTTTCCTACGTATCCGTCCAGGAGCTGGTTTAAATCCTCGTGCTGGGAAAAGGGCTCCTGATAGCCTCCTCCCGGGAGGGTGCCGCACTCCTCTAACCCAAGGCCCCTCTCCCAGCTTCCTCCCCAGCTTGGAGTACGAGAAATAACTTTCCTGGCGCCTTCGGAGGATGCCCCATGTTGTTCTGCTGTCTCAGAAACGCCCTGATGGAGTTTTCCCACCTGATTCTCAAAGTCTGAAAAATTAACAGAAGTGACAGAGAATGAAGTTTTCAGGAACGCACATCAGAAAGCAGCAAGAAAGATTAACATTAGTGTTTCCGCGACAGACTGTACTTAATTTGACTACTTTGGTTTTCACGTTGTGAAAAGTTTATTGACGTTCATTGAGCTTATGGAAAACATGAATTCCTAAACCCTTTTATTTTAGGATGACCAGGTAAATCTTGAGGTGACTTACATCCTTCAAGAGTTAGCGACATATTGCCAAAATTGGGCAATTCCTTTCATAGATGTTATAGTCAAAACAAAAGTGAAGCCCGGCCGGAGTGGCTCAGTGGTTGAGTGTCAACCTATGAACCAGGAGGTCAGAGTTCGATTCCCGGTCAGGGTACAGGCCCGGGTTGCGGGCTCCTCGATCCCCAGCAGGGGGCAAGCAGGAGGCAGCCGATCAATGACTCTCATCATTGATGTTTCTCTCTCTCTCTCTGAAATCAATAAAAACATATTTTAAAAAAGAATAGCCTTTAAAAAAGAAAAAAAAAGTGAAATGCTTACTTAAAAAGAGACTTTATTTGGTGAGTGACTGACTGCCCCAGAACTGAAATCTAAATGTCTAATAGGAAGAGCAAAGCTCTAGGGCAGCATTCGAACATTTTTTCCCACCAAGTAACAGTCACATCTCACCTGTGCGACTTTCCCTTAGGATCTTCCTTGCCCCGGAGCTTTGGAGTGGTAGAGCCCAGGGCTCTTCTTTCTGTTCCAGCTGGGAGATTACACTTGGTCTCGAAACCCTTTATAGGAAGAGGAATGCAGGGTGTGAATCTGAGCCAGTCGCACAAGGCCTGGCCAAAATCTAAGCTCTCCTCCTCCCTTAGGTAGAAGAAGACACCCAGAGAAACCCTGGTGTGTGCTCGGTCTCATTAAAACAACAGCCACAATAAAGCGATAAAAGAGGGAGAGGGTGACCTCCCCAAGAGGCGGAGGGAAAGCCCTTTTCCTCCCATTAAAAAAGAAAAACAAAATCAGACTTGGGTCATTGAAACTCTAGGGTAAGTACAATAACTCATCTCTGAAGGCACAAGGCTAACCCCATGTGGGGAGAGATAATTTTATCAGGAAAAACAAAAGCCACCATGACCTCACCCTTAGAGAGAATCAAGGCAGTTAACTATAATATTGGGCTTTACAATCTTCCCAGAAGGGCAGCAAGAGCTACAGCGATGATACCAAATACTTTAGAAATGTACCTATTTTTTTGACCCAGCAATTCTAATTCTGGGAATTGTAAGAAAATGGAAGGAAAAANAAGGGCAGCAATAGCTACAGCGATGATACCAAATACTTTAGAAATGTACCTATTTTTTTGACCCAGCAATTCTAATTCTGGGAATTGTAAGAAAATGGAAGGAAAAAGAAAAAGTTGTGCAAAAGACATATCAGGTAATTATTAACTAATTATACTTCAATAAACAAGACTTAAAAAAGATAATTAGCTAAGAGCTGGCCATCACAATACTGGCAACATTTTGGAAATGACCTAAATGTCCTACGACAAAGGCATAATTATATTTGAGCCATACAAAACTGCCATTATATAAGTAAAAAGTGGTCAAATATGTGGCTCAATCTAATGCAAATTATTGTACTCACACAGCAAAATACTAAGTGGCCATTTTAAGTGGTATACAGAAAGACATTTACTGTTGTCAAAATACATTCACGATACAATGTATCAGAAAGGAGGAGCTACAACTGAATGTACAGTAGGATCCTAATGTTTTCTTTTGTTTTCTAATTCTTTACCTGCCTGTTTTTTAATTTTATAACTAGGTTTATATATTATGCTTTTAGTTCTATATATGGAAGCACAGTAACTCTTCAGTGGTGGGTGGATGACTTTTGCTTGTCTTTTTCTTCAATGAGTCACCTTCCTCTCTCTGAAATCAATAAAAACATATTATATGTGTGTGTGTGTGTGTGTGTGTGTGTTAAATCTAAAGGAGAGTAGCACCCTTACCCTTTAAGAGCCCATTCTTCTAACTGTGCTGGGTGGCATTCCTGAAGACGATTCTCTAAGCAGTGCCCTTTCTTCCCTGAAGTCCCCAGCCACATCATTGCGGGTCATCAGGTCCTAGAGCCGGAGACCTCCGTATGCATCAGTAGCTCTCTGGACATTCTCACCATGGTCTGAAAACCAAAAGACAGCTACCAAGGACATCAGTATACGCAAGCAAAGCCTCCCCCCCCCGCTAGAATAGCTCTCAGGTAAATTCTGTCAACCACAAAAGGCTTGCTTTTTTTAATCTGTTTTTACATAATCCTTCCCTTGGCCCACTTTCCTATCACTAGAGAGGCTCAGGCCTCCCCCACTCATGAACAGAACCCTGTCTTTGGACACACTAATTTTCTGAGGAGCAAACTGCCCACGGTGGGACAAGATACACAAAGGAGAGAAATGTCCAGGTGTAACTCGATTTCTGGAAAGATTGTCTCCAACTACATTGTCCTCGGCAAGCTGGCAATTGTGGATTTAATTATGCTCATATTAGTTATGAGGACGGCTGACGTTTCCCGGCTTGTATAGGTTTGGCGTCAACCTCAAGGGACAGACCAAGCAGAACCCCTAAGGGAACTGCCTTGGGTACTGTACTATTTCGAGGTTTTCTGCAGTCAGAAATGAGACTTAAAAAGACATGGATTTAAAAAGAAAAACCGATAAGCTGTAAAACCAAGTGAACTCCAGTGGGGATAAGTATATGATTCTCTAACCACAGTGCTGTTAAAAACAATCATTAATACATTCATAAAATTGGGGCGGGGGGGAGATGACCAGATGACTGGATGTATCAGTAATTTACTCATTAAGTAATATCTTGTAAGGCATTGGGAGTCACAAAGAAATATAAGATAGGTTCCCCCTTTAAAAGAGGTTCCCCAGGGGTTGAGCGTGACCCATGAACCAGGAGGTCACGGGTTCGATTCCCAGCCAGGGCACAGGCCCCGGTTGCAGGCTCCTCCATCCCCAGCAGGGGGCGAGCAGGAGGCAGTTGATCCATGACTCTCATCATCGGTGTTTCTCTCTCCCTCTCCCTTCCTCTCTCTGGAATCAATTTAATAAAATAATAAAGTAATAAAATAAAATAATAAAATATAAAATAATAGATATATTTAAATAAATAAATAAATAAATAAATAAATAAATAAATAAATAAATAAATAAATAAATAAATAAATAAATAAATAAAATACTGAGTTTTTTAAGGGACCTAAACGCCATAGGAATACATTTCATGTCTCTGGCTTTAAACCCGCGGGGTAAAAAGCAATGTCACTACGAAGTGAACACCGCCGTGGGTTTCTGAGCCTGAGTTTTATTTCGCGGTCCGTCGGGCAGCACA